TATGTGTGTGTGTGTGTGTGTGTGTGTTTGTGTATGTGTGTATATATATATCAAATTGAAGCTGCTGACCAAATTATACATCAGCAGATTTTCCAGAACATACATTATCTATTTTATCATACTATACTTTACAAAGAATTCATGAGCGACAACTTATACTTATCGGCAAAACAGATACTCTCACTACAAGGGTCGGTGCAGCTCAAACCAATACAAATCAATCCAATCCAATACAGTACCTCGCAGGCCATGCGAGTCAGATGTTTCAGAGGACTATTAGCGAACCACTCACTGCCACTGAAGTTTTGTTGTTTCATCTCTGTACTGATTTTCACCTGTCTCGAAACTTTACTATATTTGGAATTATCCCCAGCTCGGCTCTTTATATCTTGTTTATTGGTGTTCGATGGTTTCTGTCGCTTCACCCCTGTGTATCCATGCTTTTTTGGAGATGGCAATGGTGTGTTGGTATTGTAACCTCGTACTGTAAAGTCACTCCGTGTATTAATCAGTATGTGTGATACCGGTATACGTGCATTGACAACAGCCTTTAAGTGCAACGAACGACCCAGGTGTGTGGATGCGTACGGCCCCGGCACCTTTAGCAATAGCTTCCACATTACCGCGTAGAGTGGGAGCTTAATTTTAATCAACTGTATACACTGAATACATCTATTATACACACAGGCTAAATGGCTAACTTGTATCACGTCAGCAGTAGTACCCGCGTATAGTATATAATATTTGTCTCCCTTCTCTCTCTCTCTAGTAGAGATATCAGTTGTTTACATCACCAATCCATAGCCTCCTCGAACAACCATTGCTGCATTAATATTTATTATTTTATATACTGCCGTGTGACACATTTGGAATATTTGATGACACATCAAAGAAAAGAAACTCACATCGCCACACGTGACACGTGTGACGTGTCAGGAAAGATTGCCCGCCAAAACGGTTGATTTCCATATTCAGGTTGCTGCTTTTTGTCTTCGCTTTTTTTCAACCAATCCCCCGATGTTGTTTTTATGTAAAAAAAACAAAAGCACAAAACTGAAAACACAAGACACATAGCGGATAGCCTCCGTGTTCTTTTTAGGAGGCTATGACATACACCCAAAAAAAACATAGCCTTTTAAAATAAAACATTAGAAGGCTATGTCTAAAAAGTAAAAACAATCAGAGGGCTATGAAAAAAATCGGTTACTCAGGGGTACATATTTTATGTTACACGATAAATTTGATTAGACTCGAGTGGGTATGTGTTTCTTAACTATATCTAGAATATGCGTACTGAGTTTTCAATAAAGCACCTTCGAATACTAAATGCAAGCTTTCTACACTCGATTCTCCTAAGGATGTGGGACGTTATGTCGAGTTAAAGTGACATGCTCTGGTTGGGCCAGCAATTTAAGCCAGAAGCGTCAACGTGTGCACTACTATTTGCTGGTCTATATCAGACCAAAGCGACGTGTGGAGAATACCAAACCACTGAGAGATCTACTTCAGCCGAGACAACAGAGGTTGCGACAACAGAGGTTGCGACCTCCAAGAGCGGGAGTAGACCATGGATGGACGAGTAGATCGCCCTACCCAATACTTCCCTTATGAAAATCAATACTCACCCTCCTGTAGTTACTTTGGGCCCATTTCTTAGAACACACTTATCAACAGTTAGTGTGTGTTGGTGCTTCAGTACAGACCGATCTCCCCTGTGTCTACTTCTAACAGCACAGTCGTATACCTGAGCCATTCCCGCGGCCGCACATACACAGCCGCGAAAATTCCGTCATCTAAGTTGAACGGTTTAGAACACCGCTATGTCTAGGCTCGTTTAGAAAATAAACGCCTGGCTGAACGTTTCGCAAATAAACCTCGAAATCTCAATCCGGCATGATCCGACCAGATCACAAGAAGGAGTCTAGTGTAGCACATCAATTCTCCTCAGAATCAGCTGCAATACCAAGCACTCCCTCCACTCTCAGATGTATGCCTAAGCACACAATCCTGTGGTGTGGTCGGATTAACTTGCACTGAGCCAGCTCATCACCAATTCGGCGGACACCCGGATGTATACCGGTGCTAATAATTCGCGATATCTTCCCTATACTCTCCCGGGCAGAAGTGCCACGGTGTGCGCTACGTTTCTTCATCTCTGAAAAGTCGATTTCCGGCTACATAGTACAACATAGTACAACGCCTTTCGAGCTCTGATACTAAAGCTAGATCACAATGCGATTGAAAGTGAAGTTTTACCCACAGCTGGTATACCCCTGGGTTTGGTCGGGTGTTCATCAGTATGTCTGGGGCAAATAGACGTACGATATACCTAATAAGTATTAACCCAACCTTTCATTTGGGTAAACAAGTGTACGTCCAGCGTTCACTTGGCCGGGTATCCGTCGGTGTTCACATGCCAGGTGAAGTACATAAAGGCTATGGACATCAGCGAAGACATGAGGAAAATCACATCAAACCACCTATGGTAGAACTCAAAGTGTATATCTCCCAGTACTTCCGTAATGATGATCCTGTGGTTGGATGATATATATATATACATATTAATATGAGAACCCGAACCGGATTCTTAGTTTAAAGTCGTGATAACAGCAAAGACGTTTCTAAATCTCTTCACAACAGTCGGTGCGGCATACCTGTACTCCAGGGGCATATTCATTCGCATCAGTATCACCATGGCACAGAAATAGGTGCCCATAACTTGAGCCAGGCATAGCACAATTACTGAAGCCGAATTACTACTGGCGACCGCATAGAATACCTGACACGTTGTATAAGAAAGAAGAGCAAATGCAAGGAAAGTTTTTGTTCAAAACCAGTGGTTGAGTACATGATCTATGCGAGAAATGAGGGTTGAAATGGTGATCTGACTCGACTAGGTTAACCGATAGTAATCACACAAGACAGGTGGCACATGTAGAGCTTTGTAAAGTCCAAGGATACCTTCGTCAGCTGAATCAGCAATCCTCTAATGGATGCCACGATAATTATACCGACACATATGAAGGATATCTGTTGCGACCAGAACGGAACATCGATTTGAAGTCCCAGCCATTGTACTGCAATCTCAAACCCGCGTGTGATGGGGTCTACTTTACCCACGCGGTTGAAGATGATGTTAATGGTGGCCTGTGTTAATTCGGAGAGGCATTTGCTTAAAAAATCTGTAAATAGGTACATCACCGATAAAGCCGGATTCAAAAATCAAAACCATCTTATGACAATTGAACAGCTAAGGGGAATCAGAAAGCGGATTCGATTTTCGATTCAATTGCCAAGAAGAAAACAGCCGCAGGAATTGGAATACAAGTATATTTTCTGCGCGGAAGAGACATACCATAACAATCTTGGTGACGCAATAAACGGAGAAAAAGAGGCCTTGAATATTGAAAAGCCGCCCTAGTATTGTTTTGGAAAACCTGTTTCGAACCTGCAACGGAACGAAGATATATTGAAATTAATTGAGCATAGACCAGAAATCGGAGTGTTTCCAAAAAAAAATACGCCGAATAACATTTTTGAGTGAATTTGCATTGCCCGTGTATACCTGCCCATCGCGCATTTCCAGGAGCTCGATGTACATTTGCCTACACAGCTCCTCCAACGGAACAATATCCTGTTGTAATCGACGAATTTGTTCGCCAGAGTTGCCAAATGTCCTGCTGAAGGACTCGTACGCTCGTTGCATGAATCCCATCTGCTGCTGCATCGTGATTGAGACCAGATAAATACTCAATACGCATTGCATAGCTATACAAAAGGAGCCTGCTTTCAAACACACAACAAAAATTAGAGCACAAATATCATAAATACAGACAAACATCTGATCAAATAGCCAAAACCTGATACCTGCTGCTGGGCTCCATTTTCTAGTCTAGCCTCCTTCTTCAAGCGCGCAACTTGCCTCTTTTTCTTCGCGATTAGATGGTAGTTTTGCAGGAGCCTTTTTTCCCAAGCTCTCACCTGCATACCAAAAATCAGCGAGCAGTTCAGATATGAGTGCACTGTTCTTGGTGTACAAATGCATACTAAATGTCTCAGAACATCAACACACATAAAGGGATGGAAGGAATGGCACCATCATCTTACCTCAGCATCATTAACTGGTTTGATGAACATGTGCATGTTGCTGAAGGGAAAATTCACAGCACCGAAGCCAGATAGTACAGCCATAAGGGTTACGCCTACAACCCCTATCCGACTCATGCCTTGCTCAATGGACAGAAACCCTGCAGACCAGCATTATAAACGTTGCTTGAGTTGTAGCGGTGACTGATTTTGAAAGTAGTGCTTTACCCATGACTTCGTGGAGACATCAGGGTAGACATCGGGGTGCTTATTCTTGGAATGCACGTTACTGTATCTATATTGATTAGTTGAATCTAACTGTAATTCCGTATTCTGTGATGGGGGGCACTGCACAGATACGGTGTGTTCATCTACATACCATGATCAGCACTCAGCATAGGAAAAGGGTCTCCCAGTTTCCAGAACATGTAAAGATATGCCATCCACATTACACCAGCAAGGAACAAGGCGGCGCGCGAGCGAGCGCCTGAGAATCAAGTAAAGATGCAAATTGGTGAGTTCAATGACATAGCTGGCAGTAGCATACCTTGTACTTAACTCCGTGTTAAATTCAAACAAATGGGAGGACAGTCAAATTGAAAAGCAGCCCAATCTAGAGAAAAGACATACCTATCCTCATGTTATGTAGCAGGAGCAAGAACGTGTAGATGGGAATAATGGCCACGAGCATGGTCAGCATAGCAACAATGGTGAAGCGCCACACCATATACCGAGACGACCGATCGGTGATGTCGGCAATCTCAAAGATGATCAGCTCGAACATAGTGCAGGACAGCGAGAACACACCGCAGAATGTCAGCTGCACCGCCCCGTTCCTCACCTGGTACACAAGTGTGAAGTACGTACATGAGTTCAAACTCAAATCTCTATTGTTCACAAATCGCGTAGTTAGAAGTTATATGCACGAGTTCGCAGCGCTTCAGCAGTCCAGAGAGAAGTTCCGGGACACCATTATATGTTTGGGCGTTGAGACTATACGATTGGCATGTCAACTTGTGAACACAGTCGGACGATCCGTACTATGAGCCCAATTGTGGCTCGTCGCACCGAGTGAGTGTGTATCTCGAACCGATTTTGAATCTACATTTGACGACACGAGAGTACTACTAGTCTAGTGGTCTTCAAACCCTATCAAGCTTGTACCTGAGCAGCTAGGTGAGCTATACTCGTTCATGCGTATAAAATGCGTCAAGCATTGTCGTTGAATAATCGATACCGTTGCACGCGTTTGATGACTGATGAACAATATTTTTCAGTTTTCTAAGATTTGCACATGTGTGTCATTGTATTTATAAGCGGGGAGATTTACAGATACAATTTCACCGTAGTCATATTGAACCTGTGCATGTAGGGCATCGTCACCGGAATGGTATATCAAATATGACCTCATTAACAGAAAGACTGCACAAATCATCCAGTTCCCTATTACGCATGTGGCTTCGATATAAACCTACAGTCGTGTATCTCAATCACCGATGAAATTTTAAAAGTAATACGAGTGTTTAATCATAGCATAGGTAGGTGGCTTCTTTCAAAGTGTTATCTAGCTCCATGATCAGGGATTGTTAAAATGTGTTATACGTTTTCACACTCAGACGCCAAACTAGCTCTATCCGATGATTGTGTACCTGTATCTGAGCTGTACTGAATAGTGATATAATACAATATGTCTTATCCTTATCTCGAAATAGATTTATATATTCAGTACCATACTCGATCAACACGTGGTACACGAATATACTAGGTGCGCGATACAGGGTGCAAAACATATATACAAATATTTCATTAGAAAACAATGCGGTGCACCTGTACATGAACAAAACCGTGTTTGTATACAACACACAATTTATTCAATATATATACCCGTCTCCATCTGTAGGCACCAATTCCTTTGCTTGCCGGTCTGTTTGACAACCAAAAGCGCGTGGACATCTTATACACGTGTATCAACCGCCTGATATTTCTCATTAAATGAAAAACAAGCAGTTATGACCACACTTGCAGCATACCAGAAAAAACATCAGAGCAGACATGCTATCTAGATCCAGCACTCTTCAGCGCATCTGAATATATATATATATATATATATATATGAATGATGTAACACGACCCAAATTTAAACGAAACAACCTACCTCGAAGTCGCGAAACAGGAACCTCATGAAATAGACCCAGCCCATTCCGAAGAAGAGGGCCTGTGAGAGACCGACGATGGAAAGATCATACAAAAGTCGTCCAGAGGAGAAAGGCGCCTCTATTACATTGGCTATAGTGCTGTTGTCGGCGAGAACTATCTCTGCTTCATTCATGGCGGCAGTTTAAGAATTTTGGGGATTAGTTCTGTGATTGTACTATTATGGTGTCATGTCTCGGAAGCTCGACCCGTCGTAATATTTATTGTGTATAGGTGGGCGAAATCTGTATAGATGCACTGTTTGTATCTTCTTACTATTTCTTGCTTTCTTAGACACGCGCGCACTGTACTGCTTTTCCAATGTTTACACACATACACGTTACACAAACTCGACTCTAGACGAAAAGCGATAAATGTATATATCGATATTGTTTGCTTCAAATAAAAGATTAATACACGTATTGACATACGTCTCAATTCCCACATATCAACAAGCCCCCAGAATTAAAAGCCAATTTTGATCTAGACTCCTAAAGGCCTAAATTAATTTAAAAGGCATAATCTCCCTGTGAATTTACCGGTGTAGATCCAAAATCGGCTTACCGCGCAACGGTTAATTAGGTCAAGGAGAAAGATTAGGAAAAGGCGGGCATTCCAATTTCAATTTTTGAATAAATATCAAAAGGGACCGGTGACTCAGTGAGTCGGAGACTGGTCTTTCTCTCTCTCATAGTGTGAGAGGTGAATATACATAAATAGAGACAAGGAATTGAACTTACGTGTCACTCTCACTTAGTTTATTACGTGTATGCAACGGAAACTAGCTAGTGCAATGCTGTTCAACGAGCAACTGCACGATGCCGAATTCGATGGGCAGCTCCCCGTTCCAGGCGAAAGTATGCATTGGATCTCACTGATTACTTGATTGCGCGTACTTTCGTGCGTGTTCCGGTACAGACGTTTACGGTGCAACCATGCCAAGGCTAAATATGTGTACTAGCTGTATCATTTAGGCCCGGATTTGGTCTTAATCTCGCTTATAGGCATAAATTTGGTTAGTTGAGGCACACTAGATATTCATTCCAGAAGCATTCATACTGTTATACTCCATGCGCTGTGCTGTCCGTATGCACCATTTGAACCGTTTTTATTGTTCGCAAACAAGTAGCTACTCACATTGAATGACGTACCGCTGACTGACATGATGTAAGGCAACTAGTTCTTCTTCATATCAAGTCCAAATTGTGACTGGATCACGGAGAAAACATCCTTGAAGTGTCCTTGTAGCTTGTTGTTATGCATAGGCTGTGTAGGACACAGGGCGGCGTTCCGCCGAGAAGCTTGTATCGGTGCAGAATTTATTCACGTGGTTCAATTTATGTAGACGGAAAACCATTCATATTGAGCGGTACCTGCTTGGAAGACATAGTCAAGCGTAAAGATATGGTGCCTATGACTACGCCGGACGACACTCAGGGACGCACGTACAGTATCTGTGTGAAGGTAAAAAAACTCACGAAAGCGTAAATAATAAAATACACGATGTCTGCAGCTGATTTGTAGTGATCTCTCTAATCAAGATACTCATGGAATCGACAAAGATTTTTGGCGCAAGTCGGCTGCCACTTTCCACAGTGTGTTTGCCTCGGCTCGAATCATACAACAGTGTCTGGAATAGTTGCAGTTCCTTTATACATCGCTGTGTCGGCGACCTGCAACCCTTCATAAGTCCTTTCTGTCAGTTCTGGTTATTCTGTCACCTCTAAAATTCAATCCTGTCAGTATACTGCTCGGTGGTCACAATCTGAAGGTGGCTGCAGGTGGAATCCGGATAAATATACAAAGTACTAATTTCACGCTCAGACCCATTCTTTGTTCTTTGTTCGTTGGTAGTATTACATGCGTCCTATGCGATAGCCTCACGCGAGTTTCATTTTTGCTACGTAGGGCTATGATTTTGTCACATTATGGCAATCGAATCTTTCATGCTTGCCGTAAAGGCCAACTTTCTAGCCATGCGCTTGTTAGAGGGTTCGTTTGAAATTTCTATTCGTACTCATACCACAGCAACATAGAAGACCACGCGAGTTCGCGCGATTTAGTTTGCCGACAACTAGTTGGATCATCGTGGGGAAGAAGGTGAGTGCCGTTAAGGCTATGCATGTCTCTGGGCAAACAAGTCAAAGTTCTTGAACTTCGCCACAGATTCTTTTGGACTCCTATGGCGTCTACTAAGTATCAATTGCCTTCGACACTCCAGCACTTCGCGAGCCCCCAGATACTAGAAGGCGGCAAGCACATCTGCGTCTGTAAGTCCGCATCAGAGTTCAGCTTGGTATTCCTCGGATGCGCACAGCCTTGTTCTTGGTCGCTTGAAGTTCTTTGATGTGCGATAGTTCTGTGGTTGCGGCCAACCTGCACTATTCTTGGACATTAAAGAACGCGCTACCCTCTTTCATTTAGCAATGGACGTGTCAATTGGGGCGGATCAACGGGTTGCTTGCGAGGTGCAAGTATCAGCCAACATATTCCTTCCCGCCAAGGTAATTGCACAGGCATGCAGAACAGTAAAACGGAATACCTATGCTTCGCGATAGAACCTATTCACTACAATTCACACTATGCGCGATTGAATAATCCTGCGCGCCTTCTAATTGTGTGTCATCAAAAATACATTAGATGAAACCGCTCAACGCCGAATGATGGATTATGCTGCATTTCGTAATCAATATGTGATGTTAGTGCAGGTAATACTGACCTATAGCCATACCTTGTATTCTTCAGCTCGAGGATATAATCAACAACCAAACTAAGATGAATGTCTTCAAACTCACTGGCAACCTATCGGCGCAACTGCTCGAAAACACAAAGGTTTACGTGCTGCCGAATATGACCATGGCCACAATCATCAGGCTAACCAAGGTGCGCTCATTATAGCTAACACCGGTTAACTTCTTGGGTTGTGTGCAAGCGTAGACCGTATAACGGATATATAGAATGTACCTGCGAGAATCCAATCTGATATCTTTCTGCTGATCAAATTTTGGAACCTGCCAGGATTGTCCGCCTGAGTGCTTCCTGAAAACATACACCGAGTATCGAAACTACTGGCGTACGAACTACGGATACGAACTGAGTGATGCGACTCCGAAGGTATTGTTGTGCGCCGATTTCGCAGGTTTCTCGGCATCAACTCTCAAAGTTCCTTCAGAAGACGAGACTACCTTAGTAGCTTAACATACAGGTCAAACTTTCTCGAAACATTATTTGGCTGTGTGATTGTCACTCTCGTGTTGAATGTCTACTAGCGGTGACGTACTCCTGACGTGCGCCTTTGCCGTATGCAATAACCTTCTAAGAGCCAACATGGATTTACATTGAGCGTGAAATCCCGTGGACTAATCAAATGGTGGTTCGACAGGCGTACGTTGAAGTTGTTTTTCCTGGATTTCCAAAGAACCCGGTGTGCTATCCAATTGAGTGCATTCAGACCCAAGAGCTCAGTCTCATTCGGCCTGTGCGAGCAGCGAATAAGATCGCACAGGTGAGCGTCTAGCATATGCGTATTTTTGAGCTTGAACCCCTGGTAACAGTCAACATAGATCAGTTCTTGGCGTATTGTTCGTAGTACTCCTATCCCTATCCCTTTGAGCTATGTGACTGAACGCTCTGGATATCCACCTAGCATTATACAAACTGCTTCCATAATCCTGCTCCAAGGCTGTTCACTAATATCATCTCACCCAATACAGCATTTCGTTGCGCAGCTGAAAGAAATAGTCATTCTAGGCTGTGTTCTGGACTTCACAGAGATCGACGAGACAACAGGAGTATGGATTCGTTATCGTTCATATGCTATATTAATTTGGACTCGGTAGAACGTTATCAGTATGGCCGTATCTACTGCACACTCAAACACGGGCTACATCAATCCCCAATAAAATGCTGATCACACCAGGGGCCGAGCCAGACTCCCCTGAACTTCGACGGCAACTCAGCCATCGGCACCACTTCGCTGGCATACAACGCATGCTTTACCCCTGCAGGTGACTTTGATGGTTGTGTTCACATTCGTTGGTCGTTGTGGCGCGCATTCCAATAGAGTGGGCTCTGCATGCACTCACAACCGCCAGAGTCTAGACAACTGCGCTGGACCATATTGAACTGGGAATTAATGCCATTCTTCTACATTGGCACGCTGAATGGTATTAAGCCTCCCTAAAAGATCCTCTGAACTTGAAGGCTGCCCATTCGGGGTGGACCGTTCCCGATGTGGACGACGGCTGTACCCTTCCGCCATTGACAGGTAATAAGGCGGCACATATCCCACAGCGCTACAGATTCAGTAGGTAGATATCGTTCTAACCAGCAACTTGTAGTGCGCCACTGATCAGAACAACGTGTCTACACGCATTTTCAGAACATGAGATACCGCGCCGACAGAAGCTAGTGCCAACACCCAAGACAATGCAAGCGCCCAAGAAACAAAGGCCTGTAAACCTCCCGAATGGGGGCACACTTAAGTTCAACACCAACCCAGTAGCCGAAATTGGCGTATCTCTTCCAACGAAATCGGCAGGTATGTGGCATTGAATGCCTCGGTTTACTTACAAAAATTGCAACGCGGGACGTAACGTCGTACGGCCCCTGTAGCCTGTTTCGACGGCCTCTCCTCACAAATTTCCCTACTGACATTGATGATGCTCACTTAAAACAGTATACAATGCAGGAACAGCCGCCAGACCCACTACCAAAGCGCGGTACAACGAAGGGGTAAATTGTCAGTATATTTTAAGCAAAACTCTTTTTGAGGTTTAGCCGTATGTAAAGGCGTTTGGTTGGGTGTCTAAGCTGTCAATAACTCTTGCTCATCATACAACTTTGTCTAAAACCTCGTCAATATCAGTTGCTTGGCACCGCAGTCTTGACCCGCATCGAATCGGTATGTCTCCGGTTGTCATGTGGTGTTTTTTAAAACAATTCTGCACTAGCACGTACAAAGTGTGATGTCTCGTGGTTGCCATCGATCCAATCTGCCGGATTTAACACGATTACGTCGTTCTATAGTTCGTACTGACAAGTTTGAACTTTCATGTTTTGCTCTCTTGCCATTTACAGTCTCCCGAGCATATTGAAGTCCCGCCTGTGCTCATACACCTAAGTAAGTTTGCGATCTTAGATTGTGCTTGCAGCTTTCTACGCCATAGCAACATTGATTGGAAACGGCTCTCATACCATCGTCGAGACGAGATTACACTTCCGTCAAAAAAGAGAGTTTGCGACTAAGTATAGTTTGTCGTTAATTTGATGCGCAGAGCCAATGCAGCCGCTGAAGCGCAAAGCAAAAGGCCCCCCAGTGATCACGCACTGCAAGCAACCATTCCCCCCAAACCGAGAAACAGCAGGTGACACCGTATTGTATATATTCTACATATGTAGGGAAGTTTTGTAGTCGATATCTGCTGGTCTCGTAAGTGATACGGGGTGAAATATTGTACACGTCGAAAATTATGCTCCACCATGCACCACATGAAGCGATGTATGGGTGCTTCTGCGTGGTTCAGCGTTAAAACTCTGATTAGCACGATAAATGACATACACCAGGATTGGGCTCGTGCCTCTTACGCTTGACCCGCACCTGACTCGAGTACTCATCGTCACAAATTCGAAAAATAGATGGCCTTATCGAATCCGGGATTGATGAGAATACGGACCCGCTAACACTGCCTGGGGTGGATGTAGCCAAACTGACTATTCCTCAGCTCAAGGCGGCTCTTAAGGCCAGGAATATAAAGTTCGTCAGCAAACTGCGAAAAGGAGAGTTGGTGGCGCTGCTAAATGCTCCGAGAATCTGGGACGAATGAGTCGATGATGTAACCTCAATCCTGTCGGCAGACGTGAAATCAATATGGCGATACATGCATTGACCTAACTACATTCAAGATGGTGTCATTCGCATAATACAGAGGCAGGAGTGCTCTCCAGCCGTGCCCTCCAGTCATATTCTTGCTCGAAGCTGGCAAGATGAGGTTGTTGATCCGGAGAAACAAGAGAAATATTGAGCTATCCACTACAGACTAGCATACTGCAGCCTTATGAGTATTACAGGTGCTATTGTGTAAGCCGGTCTGGCATTGCACGCCACTCCAGCACTGCAGGCTCCAGAATCAAACTGGTCTAAAATTGTGGCAGTTGATGCATTCCACCGTATTGGTGTCGATTGCAGCCCCCTCCAACACAGCTAAGTAACTAATTCGCGAGCTGCGACAAGCATACTGCTCGAAATCGCAATTGAATGCGTTCTAGGTTTGAGGTATGCATAATCTAAATCGTGCCCGTCCGCTCCACTGGTAAGAAGTTGGCAGGATACTCCCAACAAAGAGAACTACGTGTTCATTAAACGAGTTTTATTTTATTTCCTGGCGAATTCTATAAATTCATCTATTAGAACGGGCCAAGCACCTGATTTTGAAGAGGACAGATCCCAAAAATAAAGTTAGAATTTTGAAACATTGCACGCAGAACTTTTGAAATCTACTTATTGGTAAAAGTTCTCGAGATACATCGTTTCCGCAAATTACTCACCTTCCGGATCATAGTTCGAAAAGTCCGGCTTCACAGATATGCAGAAGTCCAGCAGCAAATTCCATGTATCCTTGGAGATGACTCTTCGATTGCATTCATCTAAGAACTCTATCCACGAATCCAACCACGGAACTTTACCGTCGCCTAATATTAGCTGCCAATAGGCCACCGCCACGGGTGTTTCTAGGTTCTTGTGACCCTTCTCAGCCTTAGCGAATGTAAATGTGTAGTGGTACAGTTCTTTCATTTCCGACAAGGTGCCCATCTTCTCATTAAGTTCGGTGAGTGCAGCAGCGATTTTGTCGACGGTGGTTGCACTGAAATTGTGAAGAATCAAAAGTCTGGGTTCAGCAAGTCAAAGAGTAATAGCATACTGGTAAATCCGACCGTGCATCGGTTTGAAGAACGTATAGAATATCTATAATTTGCTCTACAACCAATAAAAGGGATGAGTGAACAGAGCTTTTCCACTCGTTAATACATCTCCGAACCTGACCAACGCAATCTACCGCACATTCACGTGGTACTTCCAACTTACTTTAATGCCACGAGCCCCTTCATGAATTCGGCTTGTGTGATGATACCCTGCTCCGCACATTCGCACTTCCAGGCTAGTATAAGTATCCGAATATCACTTGTTTCGAACCCCAAGTCAGCACTTATCTGTTGGATACCCTCAATGTCGATAGTCTTTGATTCTTTATCTGCGATGAAGCAGAGAGAGGGCCTATGAGTCGACTGACAACAACTTCTCTAATCGTCTCTAATAAAAACATCGCAGCAAGTGTTATGTTCTGTGAGCTAGGCGAATGCGTAACATGCCTCAATTGAATGAACCAAATCGAATCGTTAATACGACAGAATCATACCTGCATATTTGTCGAATAATGCTTTGCCAGCCTTCTCATTTATGCTGCAAGGATGAATTTGTAATATTAACAGAATGTCAGGCCTTGATACTCTTCGTATGCAACAACGATGTTGCAGTCTCAGCGCAACTAGCGCCACAAGAGGTTTGCACAGGACTCAACGCAGGTATTATTTGCTATACAGCGAGAGAGAAGATATCAGTAGACACACCTTGTTTTAGCAGCGGGGTATCCAGCAGCAAAGAAATGGTCTATGGCCCGCTCCACTTTCCAGTTCGTAGTCTTGAGACAAGTCATTGCAACTTTCTCGTCGCAGTTCGTTATGTCCTGTACGCGCTGTATTGCATTCTTTTTCTCTGAATTTCTAATCTGCAAGTTTAAAGTGAAAATATGAATATCTCAGCGATTCATGGTTCTTTTAGACTAATGCCCCGTAGAATAAGCGATAGCCAACACAGCTTGGATTCCGATCGAGAAAGGCAAAGACTTCGTTTGCTGAAAGCTACGAGCTCTATTATTTATAGCACGTAGTCTACTATATGTACCACTCGATTAAATTTACTGCTCATAACACAAATTGAAATATACCAGCCCGTGACTACTATTTTGCGACCATAGTCTATACGATTGTAACAATCTACACAAGATTGACCTAACTCCAGGACACGAGTTGGTATACGTGCGCCACCACGACGAGCCCACAGAGATGAGAACTGCACAGTGTGTTGGCTCTCTGCCATAAACGATGACACATAAAGACGGATACCTACAAAAGAAGCCTAGAATGAAAATATATGCTACCCGTATAGCGCAGAAACTACGTAATTGTGCACATAAAAAGAAAGACAATTGATATGCAATCGGTCTGAATTATTGGCAGTCATTGGATGCGATACGAAATTTAAAAGCAGCTCCTCCGATTTAGACTTCCATGGCATTCGCTGAACATATCACCACTCTGATATGCAAAGCAATAGAAAAACCTAGAACTGCAGCATGAAACAATAAACTGACATGTAATCCCGAGATAGCGCCTTACTTACACCTCTATCTCCGTATGTATGTACATATATAATGTATATGTGTATATAGACATATACACAAGTTTAAATCAA